ATATATATATATATATATGAATTCTATTCACCTGAATGGATTACTTTTTACTCCACTTTGAGTTCATAAGAGGAAACAGGTGCACTTCTCCTGCACTTCATTTCTCTTCATTTCTAAAGAGACATTTTGACTTATCACAGCAGGAAGCACAGGTAGACCATAGGTGGCACAAATAACACTATAACGATAGCTCAGTTCCATTCAAGTGTCCAATGAAGCCATGCCAGTGAACCATTGTGCACTATATCAGGGTCACGCAACAGGAACAGCTCAATGGTATTCAGCCATCATTAATATCATTAATGCGGCTCTAAGAAAGAGCGGGTTGTCCGCTTATCGGAAGATTGGGGATTTGATCCCCAGCTCCTCCGCTGCCATTGGTGTGTGCGTGTGTGAGTGTGTGTGTGAATGAGCATTAGAGTTTGGCACCTTGTATGGCAGCCTCTGCCATCAGTGTATGAATGTGTGTGTAGTGTAGAGCGCGGTGAGTGGTCAGATATAAATGCAAGTCCATTTAAAATGAATGGCAACTGTGCCTTTCCTGCTGTTATGACACGTCAACATTTTTATTTTCAACCGATGGACTGACAAAAAGTCAATTCCCCAAAGTGATTCTTCTGCATTCTTTTACTTTTTTGTTCCAGATTTTGTTTTTGGGTAACACGTTAAGTCGAGGTCTGAACCTTGTCTGATGCACATCAAAGACACTGTAACTGTCTCATTGCTGCATATGTATCATATTTACATGGACTGAGAAATAGATATAACAACGTTAGCGTGAGAAGGCTGTGTGATGGTTGGCCTTGTGCGTGACTTGTGTACGTCTCTTTCCTCCTGTGTACAAACGCTCATACCGACAAGCATTTGGGCGTGTGTGTGTGTGTGAGAAGCTTGCATCACTGTGTATTTGTGTATGTGTTTGTCTGTCCATGTCAGCGCATGCTGTTCCCTCCTGTCGCCCCGTGCTGCGCGCGTGTGTCATTATCCAGCGGGGGCTGCTCTAATGGAAGCTGTGATTAGCAATGCTGTTAATTAGACCACAGAGCCGACCGTGCAGACCTCTGCCACGGAAAACACTGCAGATTAAGAAAAAAAAAACACAGGGGCTGAAACGTGACGCGGAGCGACACAACACTGTGGATGTTTCAGGGGATTGGTATAGTATTTTCCGATAAGAGTTGTGAAACGCGAGGTCCAGTCGTAGTAAAAACCAGAGACAGACCACACATGTAGCACATGGTGCAGCACGTCATGCACACAGAGAACAAAGTGGAACAATAATGCTGCTAATTAGATAACAGAGCTTCGGCTTCAGCTGCAGATTCAACCACAGTGTCAGAGCACACATACGTAATAGAGTGGGATACATTTGTTGAAGTATACGTGACTCGTATTATTCTCATCAATGAAATATGGCTTCAAAAGAAAAGTAGAGACATTTTGAATTGTTATAGCTAGAGAAGCAAAGCAACTAATAGCACTGAGAAATAATGAAAACGAAGAACGAAGAAATCCTAAATTGAGCCATTACTAATGTAACACCGTGTGCTTTTCATCCTATGAAAGGTCAGTGGAAAGGACAACTGTAGGTCAGTATTAAACATGACATACTGTAAAGTGCTCTGGAGCCACTAGTCAAGTTTCCGTCCAATTTCCGTTCAAATTTAAATAAAATATCCAGAAAATCTGCAAAAGAATTACACTGCGTGTTTCCATCCAGTACGCGAATATTAGCACCTGCGGGTACATTGAAAGAAACAGCTGATCAGGTGACATGAAACCATTGCAGGGGCGGAGAGAGTGCAACAAGATGACGTGATCAAAAGAGCTCCAGATGAATGGTGGAAAAGGAAAAATGGCATTTAAGTTTATTTCATGAATCAATTTGAGGAAGGTTACTGTGACCTTATGGGTCCGCACGGATCTGATCAGATTTTTGGTCTTTTTGGTGGAGCAGCAACAAATGATACACTCAGTAAAAACTTTTTACTTTTTACAATTTGTGGCGTTTATACTTTTTCTTTTTATGTACATCGCAAACTCACAATTATTGAGGGACACAAAACAAGATAAACTTTGATCCAATGTGTGTACAACTATTAGCTACCGTATGTGTGTTTGTATGTGTGTGTGTGTGTGTGTGTGTGTGTGTGTGTGTGTGTGTGTGTGTGCAGGCAGGCCTAAAGTCTTTGTGCTCTGCTGATAGGTAAGTGGGCCGTATCCGAGCATGTCGAACGCTCAAGGTGCACCTGGGATTCATCCTGGAACCTGCTGGAATGTTTTGGAAATTCATCAGCAGTGGGAAAAGGACCCCATACTGTATCTCTGTGTGTGTGTGTGTTAGAGACAGAGAGCGAGAAACAGCCCCCAGTGGCGTTCTGTCCCCCCCCCCCTCGCTCCGACATCTGGTCCTGTCTCATTTACCGTAGGAGACTGTCTGTTTGATGGCTTTTTAATGCCACTGACACTGCCACATACACACCAATGAGCATGCACACATGTATGCGCACACACAAATATACCTACAGTCTTAACCCCCCTCATGTGCACACGCCTCCATTAACATGCATCCAGCATTGATCCGGTGTGACAGAGTATATGATCGATAGTGCATGCATAAACTGACTTCTCAGGTAGCTCTCCGGTGAAGCACCTCTAGTAAACAAATAGGGGGTTTTTGAATGAAGATGTTTGGTTTAGAACTCCCATACTGCACCTGCACACCCACTCACACACATCTGTCATTGATCCGAGTTCTTTCCATCTGGGCTCTCCGTGTTGGGAGGGAACGGAGGGGGTTCTGAGGCTGTACGTATCGTTTATGTATATTTTGCACTTGAAAAACACCATTACCATTAAAAAAATAAAAATACAATGACGCAGGCAGGCGAGGTAAACAACTACACACATATTCTTTTTGCTCACCTTCGTCCCTCTTCCTCTTGCCCACATCAGTGGCTGAGCTGATACCAAGAATGCCACTGATGGAGTACGAGGAGCCGGCTGAGTCGTTGGTCACTGCCGACACTTGTGTGGCCGCCACGGACGACACTGCAGACAGACCACATGACCATACAATTATGTATTGGGGAAAAAATACAAGTAAGGTGGAAGAATAATCACATGTCGTTTTAGATTATACCACACTTTAACCTCCTAAGCGCTGTCCCTCGGAAAAACGGCTAAAAATAATATCAGGTACCAAAATGTATCAGGCATAGCTCCTCGACCATAAGGCTTATATGCATATATCTGGTCTCTGTTGAAAGGCAAGAAGCTAAAGAATATGACTCCAGTATAAGTAAGTATATTTCTATTAACATTCCAGCGTAAATGGAGCATAGATGCAATGTACAAAAAAAACAGCCATGTTACAAATAACATAAATCCTCCAAAAACATTGAAATATTAATAATCACAATGAATGTTGATATATGACCGAAAAGCTCCATGATATACAGGCAGATAAATGGAGACTGCCAGGGCCCGCAGTGCTTTTTTGAAGTTATTCATCTAAGCAAGCTGAAAACAATGACATAAGGCTTGTTGGTGTGAGTGCTTCGATACAGCCCCCACCAGCTACAAAAAGCCAGAGCTCCCATCAGTGCAAGTCAATCAAACTTGACTAAGATGCTGCGACTTCCCATCGGCCCAAGCTTTACGGTAAAACAATATATACTGTGGTTAAATATTTTGGCAAGAGCGTAGATTTATGTCTCTGTGGTTGTCAAATTTGTGTGACTGCTTCGTTCCCCCGTTAATAGTAAACATTGTGTGTTTAGACATTTAGAAAACTCTGAATTTCTAGTTCCCAGCGTTACCAAACATACGGAAGCCGAGAACTGCCGTACAAGCAATCTTTTTTTTTTTTTGCAGTTATCTCGAGATCACAAGTTTTTTTTATCATCTTGAGAAAACAAACTTTGTTATCTTGAGATTACGAGGTAATCAACTCTCAGGAGGTTATATTTGTACGACTTTATTGATAAAATACTTTGTAATAAGACGTAGTTTGGGCAACATACAGTTGGTTTACGGATTCTGAAAGCTGAAGACCTCAGGTTCTCAAAACAGTATCACATGCATATTTATATAAATAGACCATCTTCCACCGCAACTTTTTGGAACTACACCATATCGGTGAACCCGGTACCGGCTCTGTCGGGCTAAACCCTCTAAATTTAAATGTAACATCTCATCTCATTAAAAAATATACATATACATTGCTCACCTAATTAATTATGAAAGTGATCATTACAATTCTTAATATAATTCTCAAAATTAAAACAGATTGTAATAAATAGTATTGCAGCCAAGATAAACTGGGTCAGTTTTTGTTAAAGTAGATTTCAAGGAATTCATGCTGGACTTTTGTAGAGGATGGATAAATACACAGGTGGCTGGTGCTGCTACTGTAACGCACCTTATTTGGGGCTCATATATAATAAAGGTCACCATTAGCCCAATAGCACTTCTTCATCTGTGCTATTTAAAAGCATCTTAAAGAAAGAGTAGTTCCATCATATGATGTTAAACAGATGAATAAAATCATACTGCATGACCCTGAACCTTGTAGCTGTTGTTCACTGAAATTATGCAACACATTTATTGTTCTTCTTACTCAAAGTGCAACTTTCCCATGTCTTGATTCCGTTAATTACGATACATTCACAGACACAAAAAGCTGCGTGAAATCCTATATTTCTCTCCCGAAACTCAATAAAAATGCTCTTTTATCCTCTAAAACCTTTACTCAGCCATGAAGACCAAATTGAGGCTTGAGAAACAGAAGAAAAAAAAGCCACAAAGGACAGGAGTCTGTGTGTTGCCCCTCGTTGTCTCTCCCTCTAATCTTACCCCCTGAGGGAGACAAGTTCCTCGCTGGGCGACAAAGCGACATACTTTTCACCGCTTCATTGACAGACACACATATACACACATTCTGCAGACAGACACAAACACATGCACACCCCGAAACATACAGTCACTCATTCCTTGGTCCCTTATCTGTGCCCGTGTAAGCGGACATGGGGTTGAGTGACAGTACGGTATCCCAGGAGGGACAGAAAGGTGTGGAGACAGACATCCTAATCCTCCCTCCCAGCAGACCCCCCAAACACAGAAAGACAAGACCGAAAAGGGAATGTAAAAAAAAGAAACGATAAACCAGAGGATCAAGGTCCCTTCCAGCCGTTAGTCCTTCGCTAACGACAAGGAGAGTATAATGAATGCATATCCCTCCTTTTCCCATCACTTGATTTAGCACTTCAATTATCTGATTTTCCTTTCTCTTTCTTTCACTCTTTTTTTTATCAGACGTAACGCTTTTATTCCGCAAATCCAAATGTTCAATTTTCCGCCTGGGAGTGGGACCCATTTATCTGTGTAATCTGTAAGCGTGTGTGTGTGTGTGTGTGTGTGTGTGTGTGTGTGTGTGTGTGTGTGTCTGGGTGCATCTAGGTGTGTATGCGTGTGTTTGTGTGTGTGTGTGCTAAATGTGTGTAAAAGGCAGGAGTCAGGGAGCAGTGTGTGTGAAATTAATTTAGATTAATAGACAATGTGCGATTATGAAGATATGAGAGACACCGAAACACAATCCACTGCAGGGCGAAGTGAGGGAGGGAGGGAGAGGGAGGGAGGCTCTCATATTTATTTGTACTCTGAGATATTCATCGAGTAAAGGGAAATAACGTTTCAGTTATAGCTGTAAGCGATATATTGCTTCAGCCTGTAACATGATTAGAAACTACAAATGAACAGTCAAACCGTGTTAATGTGTCAAGGGTCTTTTGATGAAGAATATTAATTTCACTCCTACAAACATCGTTTTTTTTGGTTATTTACTCAAACATCCTTGCAATCCACCTTAAACTGGCAAATTAAAACATGGCCGAATTAACCCCTCAAAAATAATTTGCCGTTTGTGATCTTTTGTTTCTCATTTAGGAAGGACATGTGCCGTAGACAAGATCAGTCATGATTCGGAACCTGCTTTGAGGCCTCTTTCATTTTGCTTCATTGTGTGGTTTAGCCGTGCATATTCCCCAACAAATGTGCAATTAATCCAATGAACACATACCAAACCACATAATAAATGTGGGCCTTTGTAGCCCCCTGAAGGGAGGCCTCGGGGCAGTTGCACACTTTGTCTGGGTTAATAATCCAGCCTTGGTATGAAGGAGAATTTGGGAACATACTGTAAATGCTCAATCATGATCTCCATTAGCAGACATTTCAGTGCTTATGATACTTGTTTTTTGGGGGCATTAAGCTAGACGCGGCTGTCAACTCTCCCCTTTAAGAGGTTAATAACCCACAGGTTTACCAAACACACTCTACCTCCCGTTAACTACCTTTACTTCACTCCTCATCTTGATTGAAACAATCGAGCAAAGACCTTCGTGGCCTACGACGTTTCACTCCAGGTTAAGGTTCAGAATTTTAAATACGTTTCGTTGTTCCGCACGCTGCACTCGGGCCCCTGAGAGATACACTCAACAACGGCTCCGCTGTTAAAATGTGCTTTGACAGTTGGAAACGGGATTTTGTTGCGGCGGACCTACCTAAGTTGTGAGCCAACACTGAGCCGGTTTGGCCGGGCGGCTGCTGCACCTTTGTCCGAATGATCCTGCAGGAGGAGAGAGAGGAGATATTAGTGTGTGCGTGTGAAGTGGTCGTTTGTGTGTGTGTGCGTGTGTGTGTGTGTGTGTGTGTGTGTGTGTGTGTGTGTGAGGATTCTGCTGAGTGACAGAGAGAACATGACCATCGTGGGAGCTAAATGATGTGTGTGTGTGTGTGTGTGTATGAAGTGGCTGAGGCAGGCTGACATGGCAGAGGGGCCTCACACTTCCTGCTTGGCTGCTCATGCAAGCCTTTTTCCTTCCTCTTTCCTTTCCTTTCTTTTTCCTTTTCCTCCCCCTTTTTCCTCCCCTCTCATGTCCTCTCCTCTCCCTTTCTCTCCTTTCCTTTTGTGTCTCTCTGTCCGTCCTTACTCTCGCACACCTTCCCTCCCTTTTGTCTGCCTCCTTTGCTCACTCCTCTCTCTTATTTCACCATCCCTCCCTCTCTCCCTCTCTCTCTCTCCCTCTCCCTCTCTCTCTGCCTCTATGCTCAGAGGAAAGGGTTGTCATTGTACCATCGTGTTGAACTACTGAGCTGCAGCCACTTCATACATATGGAGACTGGGGCCTCTTTGCCATTCTCTTTTCCACACACACACACACACACACACACACACACACACACACACACACACAAACACACCATATTATATTGCTCTGAGCTCTACCTACTCTCAGTACCTGTTGCTATGAAGTTGATACTCAAACAGAACATATACCTGTTGATGGAGCTGACGCTGGGGACGCTGTCGTTGTCGCACACTCTCTCGGCCAGGAGCCGGTCCCGGATCTCCCAGGCAAACATGGTGGGGTTTTGGCGTTTGTAATCTGCGATCTTGTCGACCACTTTGGGAGTAGCAACCTTTGGTTTGGATCCCCCGATGACCCCGGGGCGGATGCTGCCCGTCTCATAGTACCTGCCAAATCAAAGCGCAGAAGAGGCTCGCGTTGGTCACAAAGGAGGTTGTCGCATTTACAGAGGAAGTGTTGGATAGAAGCTGCGTGGGAGGTCGATTCTGTGAATTCAAACTTAAAGAATGTGTCATCTCGAAAATCAAAAATGGGATAAAAAAACGGAAAAAAAAAAAAGCAACATGTAAGAATCATGAGGCTAAGATGTTTAAACATTCACGACAGTGTGACTTGATCAATTGACGTTGGTCCTCTTATTTTGACCTTTTCTTATCAATGGAGATGATTGTGCAAAAGTGATCAAATCCCACTTAAAATACAAGAGGGTTTACATGGTTAGTAATGCCGTTCTAATTGTTATCTACTTTGTCCGTGGTTCCTAAATCTTTGGTCACTAATTTACAGTTTGTAGAACCACTGGGTACTGTCGTTTATAGCAAGAGTCAATCAAACAGAGGCAAATAGGGCATTTGTTTGGGAACTAAGTTCGGCTTCAGATTTGGTGCACTCGTGACACCAGTCTGAGCTCCCTCCCCTCCCCGCTCCTCGACCTTCCCGCTTCTTATATTCAACTGAAGCTAGCATGAGTCTGTTTCGGTCGAATCAAGCGGTTATCTTCCACAGTCACAGCCTTTGTCGCGGTTATTTGTGGGGAAAGATCAAGAGAATTTCATTCTAAAAAAAGCAAAACATTGGAAGACATCCACTAGATTGAACTCTGCTGTATCCTCATATTAGCTTCTGTTGAACATCACAATGTGTTTTTGCAGGGAGCTGAGGATTCTATCGGCCATCTCTAACATTCACAAGGGATCACTTCACAGCCGGTATGGGGAAATAACTACAGCGCCCAATGACTCTTTCAATGTTCATATAAAAGTGTGAAATAACGCAGCTTGGTCAGTGTTGTTAAGCTTCACACTGTGACGCTCTTCCTGCCCTTCTAGCGTCAGATTTGCACGTCTCAGAAACGGCATGTCAGTATCCGCTCTTTACGTGCAAAATAAACTCCTACCTTGACAGGAAGTTAGGTTTAGGCAACAAAACCACTAAGGTTTTGGAAAAGAGTGGGGTCGACGTGACTACGTACCTGACTTCTGCTTTAAGCAACCGTTTATACATTTGACAAAGACTAAGATATATTGCAAATATTACAAAAGCCACATAACAGATATTTTGACAATAGGACACTGACACTGGTGACTCTTGCCACATTTTGGAATCTATTGTATAACAAATGGCTCTATTTGTGTTAGCTCTATTTAGCCTTTTAGTTTCATTGAGTACTTTCAAGACTTTTGTTCATGCCTTTGCTTGGGTATTCCTCGCAAAAAGACATCTTCAACACTCAGACTTAGAAAAGGAAACTCCAGGCGCTCTTTAGTAACATTACATACATTCAATGCCTTTAATTATTGGTAACCTCACAGGGCCTGCATTGGATCGGAGAGACTAAAAACTGATTGTTTTACACCTGGTGCTCTACACAGACCAACGGAGGCAGAGAAAGCATTGCCATGATGTCAAAATGTTGACGTCATGTCAGTGAAACTACAAATCAGACAATTCAATGTGTGGCAGTCCCTTCTCTACTTACCTCGCGGTCATTAGAACCAACAGCTGGATAACAGTTAAACTGAACGTGATGGCAAAAATATTCATGACGTCTGACTCGTGCCGTTTTTTTCTTTGGCAGTTTCACATTGAGACAGAGAAGAGGGTGGCACACACACACACACACACACACACACACACAAACACACGCACACAGATTCAGGCGTTTCGTGTCCACCATGGCTATTTCATGAATGTATTTGCATGCAGAAGGGGCATGGGTGCAGGGAGGGGGGCGGCGGGGGGGGGGGTAGGACAGCAAATGTGCTACAGAGCTTGCAGAGAAAGGGGGATGCTGTGTGTGGATGCAAGCTGTCAGTCAGTCTTAAACCTGCTCTCTCTCTCTCTCTCTCTCTCTCTCTCCACCGCTGTACGGTAGAGTTATCCCTTCCGTGAAGATGTGTTCTCCTGTAAATGTGTGCTTCCTTGTCTCCCTTTGTGTGTGTGTGTGTGTGTATGTTGCACACGTTGACTGTTCACAGCTGGAGTATAAACACAGCTAAAGGAAAAACAAACAAAAAAATCTATTTCCAAATGGAAAACTATTTAAATTATTCACAGCGAAATCATCGGTGAATAAACGAGCGTGGTTATTGATATCCGCACAATGATGAGCTAACGCACACACACACACACACACACACACACACACACACACACACAGAGCGGTAGAGTTGGTGGTTTTGTTCTGCTGGCACCAGAGAGACAGAGAGGAGAGGATAAAACAACCCTCCCTCCCTCCTTCCATCCCTCGATCCCTTCTCTCCCCCCCCCCTCACGGTAACGCTTCAGTGAGTTGAACGGCCAGGACAGGGGGAGAGAGAGAGGGAGGTAGAGAGAGGAAGACAGACAGAGAGAGAGAGGCAAGGGAGAACAATGAGCAACACATTTTGTTTGATATAGCTGAGGGTCGCTGTAGCTAATCCTTCCCCTCCGTCCCCTCAAATGGTCTCTCTGTCTCTCACCCCTTTTTCCCCCCTGCACTCTTTTTCTTTAACACGCCTCTCCCCTTTTTGATTGTGTTCTTGTCTTTCTCCCTTTCTCCATCTCACTTCGTTTTTTTTTTGGGGGGGGGGGGGGGCAGAAATATGGTGCCACTTTCATTTTGATGCTAATTCCCCAAAAAGTGATGAATCTTTTCCTTTTGTCCCCCTTTCTTCTCCGGGGGACGGAACGAGCAGGGATTTAGTCTCAAATTTTAGCTTTAAAAAGGCAAAGAGAGAGAGAGAGAGGAAAAAAAGGGAGGAGGGGGGGGGGGGGGGGGGGGGGTAGAGGAGAGACAGAGGAATATTGAGAAGGGTCGGGAGAGAAATACAGGATACAGAGAGGGGAGAGGAAGGTTAAAGGGGCAAAAAGAAAGAAATAAGGGAGAAGAAGAGGCAAGCCAGCAGACAGCTTGTGGATGCTTAGGGAGTCAAAGAAATGGCAGAATGGACACGAAATGAGTCAGTGCGACCTTACAGGGGCTTCAGTTTGACACATGCTAAGCCAACACTGAACCTGAAGCCAACAATAGAAACCAAAAAACATGAACCGGATTTAGACTTGTAGCTGTCCTGCTTCAAAGATTTCCCTCCCCCAAAGATGGCGTCAGACCGGTAAAGCCGCCACGTTTATACACCTCGGCCACGATTATACACCTCGGCCACGATTACCTGCCCAGTATCTTGCTGACACACCCGTGGCTGACTCGCAGCTGGCGTGAGATGTCGCAGGGCCGGACCCCTTGGTGGGCGAGTTCCACTATTCGCTGACGGACCACGTCCGGGAGGGGCCGGCCGTTCACAAACACGCCTCCGAGCTGGTTCACCCCGCCGTGTCCTGGAAGAGAGAGACAGAGAGAGAAGAAGAAGACACGTCAAAAACAAGGTGAAAGGTGAGTGATGGAGAGAGGAATGCTACGGCTGCCTATGAATTTAATTAGATTACAGGCAGTGAAATGAGACAAAGATAAAGTTATTCAAAGTGACCAATTGAAGGTCTGAACAAGTGTGACCTCACAGATAAAATCAGTGAAAATTCTTAATTTACTGCATTGTTAGTGTCCGAGTCCTGGTCTTTCCTCAAAATACATTTATTTTTTTCCCAAACCCCTGCTTTTCCAACTCAATCATCCCGATTCTTCCGATAAATCCAATCTAGATGAAGCAAAGCCATGTCTTAAAGAGACAGACTGCCACAGAAAGGCCCTTCAGACGGCCATTTATCAGTGGTGTTGACATAAACATCACACCCAGTGTGCCACATTCCAGTCTGGATTAAAAGCCTCTGCATTCGATCCTATTCGCTCGCTTCCTGTTCTCACCCTCTAGGGTTTTCTCTCGCTTCGCGGTGAGAGACAAAATTCAAACGACAACAAAATGTAAGCATGTCAAATACAACACGAAATGTCTTATTTCACCGATGGAGTGTTCATTTTGTTATCATTCTTTAGAAGGTTTGGTTAAGACAATATTAATAGCTAGAGCCACACTTTCTGGACTAGAATCACAGCTACTGGAGTCAATTGAATATCTCATTTGATTTGTCTCCCAGCCTCTGATTTATCTAGCTCAGCACCATAGCACCAGTTAGAGTGTTCCAAAGTGCAAGCTTTGCCCATTTTAGATCTTCAGTAAATGAGGGGATTCATTATTGACCAACTGGCCCCTTTACTTAAGGATACCACTAATACCCCCGCACCCCCCTGAGGATTTAATTTAAGGAGAACAAGACTGAAGCTGAACCTTTCTATAGGTTCTATAACTTTTCTAAGCCCTCTGAGACAAATTAGTGATTTGTGATTTTGGCCTATACAAAATATACTGAATTGAATTGAATAGTTCTGTTCATGGGATTGTTATTAACTGTTTTAATACTTCGCTCTTCTGCTACTGTAACTATCGGACATAGGAAATCTGTAGCCACCTGCTAATTCATCTGACAAAAGTTTTTGATTGACAGGAGCAATAAGGACCAATAAGTAGATATCGGTCGTGATTTGGAGCAAAGTAGTGCCGGGCGATACGGCCAAAATCTGCCATCACCATACAGGTCACATCATTCCTCTATAACGATGTCATCATAGAGCGCGTTCTCTAATAATGTAAATAGTCGGTTATTGTAAACTCCTGAGTGAATTTAATACTTGGCGGATGTAAAGTACTGAGTATTTTCTCATTGATTGAGAACTTTAGTGCAAAACGGGCTTGTTATTATCCGTTAAGACGACTTAGTTGCACATCACAATATCTCGATATATGATTTCATCACAATACGATTCCATCGAAAGATAAATTATCATATTGGATTATGACTCAGCTCTAGAGCTAAGTATAACATGGGATATAGTTTGCATCCATATAGTTTATAAATCAGATTATAACTAGAAAACAAATGCCCCAATGTGACGCCTTTTAAATGACTGGTTTTGTCCGACCGAATGTCCAAAATGCAAAGATGCTTAGTTTACTATCGCGGAACACTAATGATCACATCGGAGAAGCTGAAGCCAGAAGATTATTGGCATTTTTGCTTTTGATTCGTTGCCAATCGACTGATGGATTAACCAATTAATTGTTGAGCACCAGTCCTGGAGCCTGTCCCAGCATGCACCTGGGTCTGAGTCTGTAGATCCACACATTCACACCTCTGTTAACTCTCTCTGTTGAAAGGCTCCACCCAGCCAACCAGATCAGAACGTACAGGGGCCTCTTACTGAGAGAAGACAAAGCTAACCGCTGTATCAGCAAATATATAAGTATATGCATATATATATATATATATATATATTTATATATATATATATATGCATAATTATATAAACAGTAAGCAGTAATGGGATCCATACGCTCACTCCCTGCTCCCCAATAGTGTGTATTTATTATTTACTGTACATGTATGTATCTCACCAAAGGCAGAGTGTAAATCAACCAGATTTTTTTCTGCCACACATAATCCACTGGCTTTTGTATTACCATAGTGATTACGTCTTTAGGGGAAACACACACACACACACACACACACACACACACACATACACACACACACGCACACTAATCCTAGCTGTGGGGGTAATAGATTTTAAACACATTACCCCAGCAGGGATACCCCCTTAAACACAAAGCTGTACCCTGAACCTGTCCCTCTGTCCTCTCCTTCCCTCCATCAGCATATAATAAAGAAACACACACACACACACACATACAGATGCTGCTCCAGCTCAAACAGAAACACATCCACACATGAAGTGTGACGTCTACAGTCTCACTCTGTCAAATCAAACAGAGCTGCTTCCGAGCGGCGGGACGCAGGCCGGTCCCTCTCTCCCCCCTCACTACTTTATTTTCTGGAGATAGAAGAAGCCTCATTATGCAGGTGCCTGCCGCGGACGGCGCGGTTTGAAAAAGCAATCGCTCTTTACAAAAGACACCAATATGTAGACGCAGTCGTTTGATCATGCAGTGTTCGCGAAAGCTGGGCTCAGAGTCTAAACGGCCAGAAATGGAACGAACTTTTAAAGACAATGTGATCACATCAGCTGTACCCAAAGCATTTGCTATTTAATTAAAGGAGCAGTCCACTAAATTAATGGCTGTGTTTTTGCATGGCATGGCTGCCAGCTAGTAAAATCAGTTGTGTTTTGAAGCTGTGGAGGAGCTTCGTCCTGGGAAAATAACCCTCACAGTGATGTCAGTTATCTCAGACACTTGTGCATTGTGGGAAATGTAGGATCATGCGGTTTTTTTTAGCTTGACCCATACAAAGTCAGGTCCTCTGTGGGTTTGATTTTATTTCTATTTTTGTTATCTAGTCTCCTAACTTTATGCAACACTAAACATCACCCCTTTAGTAAATCAACTGTGTCGACCTTTCTGAGCGGAGGTGATTTTGTGATGTGTGAATATTTCTGGGAAACAGTGCAATGAGCGGTCTCTGACTGAAGATGCTCCATGGGACCTTATGCTTTGAACTGGTTTACAGATTACCCGGTGTCAGAGGAAGGGAATTTGGAGCATCTATCCAGGAAGATGTCTTGTACTACATCTGCTGTTTGAAGCAATATGAAATAGAGGTCTGTGAGATTCTGTTATGATGATGAGTTGGCTTGCCTTTAATGTAAGCAGGTAACCTAAGCAGCTCCTGGGCCAGTGCTTGTTTATGGCCCAAAAGCACAGCTCTCAAATGTGGCTTGAGGGGCTTTACAATCTGGATAGCAGAGTACTTTTTTTAAAAAACATATTTTGGGACATTGTATCCCTTTGTGATAGCAGAGAGATGGCTGGAAGCTCCTTCAATGTTGCTGTTGATGGTCAGCGCCTTGACCTTCCATAGTCCACCTGAACCCCACTGTTCTTGTCATTTTGTTTCCTTCTAATCCTGCGATTTTACTGGAAATCATAACTGTAACGTCCCACCTGGTGCTGAGACGCAGAGAGAAGACTCTCTCTCTCACACACACACACACACACTCACTTATAGCAGTTCCTCAAAGCAAGAACGAGCCCACTGACCTACATGGACAAAAATCCTGAACACACACACACACACACACACACACACACTCTCTCGCTCTCTGTGAATGTTTTGTACAAGTGTGAAGGCATTATTCCCTTCCTCCTCTCCTTATTATCACGTCCCAGAACCTTTCCATGAATAAAAGCACAGGTTTTTCTTTCCTTTTTTGCGGGGTCGTTTATAGAAGCCGACTGTGCAACGCCCTCCTCACCAAAGGTATCTTGCAGAGAAGTCTCCCCCCCCTCTCTCTCTTCCTCCCTCCCTCTCTCTCTCTTTCTCTCTCTCAGATAAGAGTAAATGAAATGGTTCCTTTCACCCGTCCTATCTGGGCTGGGGCATGAAATACGCCTTGCTTTGTAAAGAGATGGAGAGGAATGACTTGTGACCTACAAAAAGCGTCCAGATAACTATTTATTCACTTATCTGTGTATTTACTGTTGGCATTAGACGTTCAGACTCTCACCGTCCTCAGGGTGGGTGATGGGGATTATGTGTTTTGAAATTTATTTTTTTTCCCGAGTCCATAAATATACTGATAGGGACAAAACGCAATAAACTTACACATTCTATAAAGGCATTTGTTTATCGGCCAGTGAGGCTATACTTCTCTAAATAAGCAGCATTAAAGACTATAAGTGCCATGTTTTTACACATCTAGTAGGAAATGGAGCTGGCCTGAACTGAATTTTATCTTGAAGTTTTTATCATTATAATAGGGAAAATGGCCAGAAATTGCTTTGCATTTTTTTGGGAGGAATATATTCCCCTTTAGATTAAAAAAATTATAATTCAGGGCTGATGTTCACTCACAGCTGTGTGAGTTTAATGACAGAGGTCCATAAATTCCTCACACTGACCCAACAAATTAACCACTCACTCCCGGAAATTCAATCAAGGTTGGCCAACTCCTGAGGTTTTGTTGCAAATTAGATACAAAGATTCTCCTAAATGAGGGGGGGGGGGGGGGGAGGATTTTAAAGGTGTTTCTGTTAAAGCTGAGTCTCCAGAGGCAGCTATAGCTTCGTCTTCATCCCGAAAAAAAACAGGATGAGAGAGGGACAGAGACAGCCAGGGGTCATTATGCAGCCCATGTTGTATTTCTATTTATTTACCCTTTTATAGGAGCTGACTAAAAAGCCCAGCACCTCCTTAAATGTTTCATTGATTCACTGTTTCCGGGAGGAAAAAAAAACAGATAAAGCAGAATATATTCGAGCTCCCCCATCCAGAAAATAAAGTCTATTAGGCTCTCTGTCTCTTTGCATTCCTCTCTCTCTCTCTCTCTCTCTCTCTCTCTCTCTCTCTCTCTCTCTCT